AGAGGTGATGAAATTTACCAATATAAAATAACCAGCAAGTGGAAGAGTTAGGACTTGAACTCATCACTGACTTACAGATAAAGAAATTCGACCAGAAAGATCAAGTGACTTGTCTAAGGTCATATAGGGAGTAAGTGGATTTGAATTTGGGTTTCCTGACTCCTGGTCATTCCTTGTTCTTTTCTTTCTACCACACTATCTCAGCCCCTCTTTAAGTATCAGGAAGAAGCTTAAATCTTGGAAATCAGCTTCACATAGCCAAAGGCACTTCTACCTTCCCAAGGCCCATGATCTTGAATGCTGGAAGGGGACCCTGGAAGAAACAGAGGCTCAGAGGGGAAATGACTTGCTCAAGGTAAGCTTTGGGACTAACACTCAAATTCAGGTCCCCAGCCTTCGAATACCAGGATTTTCCCACTGTACTATGGTGCCTCTAGAGTATGAATATTTTTACTGCTGTTTCTCAGGATTACTAAACACAGAGCCCTCTGATTTGGAATGCCGTAATTGGGTCACCAAACTACGTGCAAAATGTATGCAGACCACTTAGCCACATTCTCTGAAACTAGGGGCCCCTAGGTATTCCCAGATTTAGGTTCACAATTCTATCCCATAAATACGTATTAAGTGTCTATTATTTGCAGAAGTCTCTGCTGGGTGCAGTGGGGAAATATAAAATGTAGGTGGCACGGCTCCTGCCCTCTTGGAGCTTACAAACTAAAAACTTGACATGCTACACATACAGACAACCAAATTGTACAAGATATGTGTCTTGGAGAGGCAGCTAAGTTAGTCAATAAACATTGATTCAGTACTTAAGTGCCAAGCACCATGCTAAATGCTGGGGATAGATACAAAGAAAGTCAAAAGACAGTCCCACCCCTTTGCTGGTCTTGGAGGCAGGAAAAACTGAGTTCAAATCCTGTCTCAGACACTTAATGGCAAAGTGAATTAAGTCACTTCATCACTCTTATCTTGAGTTTCCTCATCACAAAATAGGGATAAAAAAACCTCCTGCATCATTTCTTACCTAGCCTTAATTACTGAATGGTGAGATCTGTGAAAGACCTTAGCTTAAAAAGGCCACGGTCTCCCACTCCATCAGGAGGCCATCTCCTGTTGTCTTGATTTATGTCTGGCCACTGGACCCAGATGACTCCGGAGGAGAGAGTGAGGCTGGTGACTCTGCACAGCCCTGCCTCACTTAATTCCACTGCATATCATGATATCACCTCCCAATATCATTGGTCCTCTTCAAGAATGAAGGACAAAAACAACAGGAATTGAATAAGGACAGGTAGGTGGTACCATAGTGGATAGAGCAAGAGGCCTACAGTCAGGAAGACTCATCTCCCTGAGTTTAAATCTGACCTCAGACACTTATTAGCTGTGTGACCCTGGGTAAGTCACTTAACCCTGTTTGTCTCAGTTTCCTTATCTGTAAAATGAGCTGGAAAAGGAAATGGTGAACCACTCCAGTATCTTTACCAAGAAAACCCCAAATGGGGCCATGAAGAGTTGGACATGACCAAAAACAACTGAACAACAACAAGAATTGAACAAGGAGAAAAAAGCAGAAGGGTATTTCAGACACAAAGAAGAACATGAGCAAAAATTACGGAGGCCAGAAAGAACAGGGGTTTGCTTGGGACATAGAGAGTGGCAGTAGCTATTATGTACATTCCTACTGTTTTTGAAGGCTTGCAACATGACTTCCTCATGCAAGCCCAGGAGGTCAGTAGTATGTGAATTACTGCTTCTCCTGACTCCAAGCTCAGTGCTATCATCTCTATGTCAAACTGCCTCTGTAGTATTCTGGTCTTCAGCAGAGATGACCAGGGTGGCAAAGGGACTCAAATTCATGCTGTCCGAAGACTGGTCAAAGGAAAGAACAGTATGTTCAGCCTGGAGGAAAGAAGATGAGGGGAGATGATGAGTGAGGGCATTGCAAAGAGTTTGCCACAAGTTATACTGTGAGCCAGAAGAAGATCTGAGGGCTGTCTTCAGTATTTGAAGGATTGTCCTTTGACTTATTCTGCTCAGCTCCAAAGGGAAGAACCAGGTGTGTAGATCGTTGTTTTAGAGCTTGAGGGACCAGAGAGGCCAAGCCCCTCACTTAACAAAAGAAGAAACTGAGGCATAGCAAGGTTAAAGGGCAGATTAGTTACCTGAAAAGGTAACCAGTCAAACAAGCCAGCACTTTTTATAAAAATCCAATTTCAGTTTCCCTACCAACTTTTCATAGGTTTAATTTACAAATTAATAAATACAGTGCCTCATCCTCAGAACAAACAAGTGTCATGTAGGATCTAGAACTGGAAGAGACCTTATTGATCTATTAAACTCAACTCTTCATTTATAGAAGAAGAGATTGAAATAAATTAGGGGAAGGGACTTGCTGAAGATTATGTTCATAGAAAAGAATAGATAGACTCAGGATTCAAACCCAGTTCCATTGATTTCAAAGCTAGTATTCTTTCCATTGTAAAGTAGGTAGTACAGGTTATCAATATCTCCATTTAATAGGTGGGGAAACTGAGGCCCACTCATGGTGGAATTGTAAGGGCTAAAACCAGAATTTAAATGCATGTGTACTGCCTGAAACTTGATCACCTTGCTAACTGCCTTCCTCTCCTCCCAGGGTCTGTCTTTGTTCACTTGGATGTTCCCTCAAACCCCAAGCTCCTACTTCCTCCATCTTCTCAAATCCCACAGACTGCTTCTCCACTCTAACCCAGCAATTTAAAGGGATGGTCACCCTGCATCTCACCATTATTCACAAATAACTCGTTTCCTTGGTGGTAAAATCTGAGTTTCCTCTATCTGGCCATGACCATTCCACCTCACTGTCATCGCCACCTCCGATCCCCTACTTCACCCCTCAGTACGCTCCCAGTCCGTCAGTCCTCTTCTGGCTGTACTTTCTTCCCTTCTCAATTTTGACCCTACAGTTAACCAATTCTTCTGCACACTGAGCTGTCCACTGGAATACCCTGCACTCTTGTCCTATCACTGCTCATCCCTTGCCAGACTCCAATCCTCTCTTACTCCCACTGTCCACCTCCTCTGCTCCTCCTCACGTGCTGCTTAACTGAGCGGGAGGAAATCACAAATTGGTGCTGACCAGGTGAGTTACAGACTTAAGTTCTCCAGCTCCAAGTGTGACTGTTTATCCCTCCCTAATTGATTTCCTGTCTCACTCCCCACAGAAGCCATAACAAGTACCCTCTTCTGTCTTCAGGCCCCCTATACCTCCCCCTCACTTCATCCTCTCACTGGAGGACCTCACCAATTTACTGAGAAAGAAGGAGGCTGTTGAATTACCACTGCTCCTCTTCTCTCCTTCTACAAATCTCTCAATAACATCTCCCAGTCTCTCCTTTTTCCAGTCTCTGGACAAGGAGGAGCTTCCTTCTCCTTTCCAAAGCCAACTCCTTCTCCACGTGGCCTGGATGCCATTCCTGCCAGTCTTCCCTAGCAGGTTGCCTCCATTATCACGCTCCCTTTTCTAACCTTCAGTTTTTTCCTATTTCCAAGTTTCCACTAGACCCTACCCCTCCTCAAGCTATCATCCTATATCTCTCCCCTCTTTTCTCAGCCGAACTCTTAGAACAAGTCATCTGCCCTTGCCTTCATTTTCTCTCCTCACACATATTCCTCAGCCCTTTGTAAAGACTCCCCATCTCATCACTCAACCAAACCATGTCTGTCCAGAGTCACTGGGTGTCTCTGAATTACCTGATCCGATGCTCTTTTCTCAGTCTTCATCCGGCTGACTTCTCTGCTGCTGCATCTGACCCCGTGGACCACTCTCTCCTCCTAGTTATACTTTTCTCTATGCTCTCTCCTGATTCTCCTCCTACCTATCAGACCACTCTGGCTTCCTTTGCTGATTCCTCATCCATATCACACCTCACTGTGGATGTTCTCCAAGGCTCTTCTACTTTCTCTCCATTCCCTACTGTCTACACTCTACTCATTCTCTCTCTCTCCTCTCCCTCTCCCTTTCCCTCTTCCTTTTCTCCCCCTCTCTCCACATCAGCCACCTAGGTGAATGAGACCTTCATAGAACATCTAATATTTAACAAAAAGTGATTTACTTAACCATGTCATGGAAGGGCTGCCCAACAAGGATACAGCATTGGGCCAGGGAGGTGTAGTACCTCGGGCATTAGCAAATCAAGATTTTCAAATGCAGTGTCAGAAACCACCAACACTATAACAATAATGCCATTTATACAGAGCTCTGTAAAGTCTGCGAAGCACGTTAGGTACTTTATCTTATATGTACATCATGTCACCCCACTTTTGTGAGGTTAGTACTAGAAATATTATTATCCCCATTTTACAGATGAAGAAACTGATTCTCAGAGATAAGTAATTTGCCCAAGGTCACCCTGCTGGTAGGTGTCAATATTAATAACAGCAGACCAAGATTTGCTATTGCAAATGTGCTATTTGCGCATAGTAGGAACCTAATAAGTGCTAGTCGACTGACTGAGTCCCATTTCTGAGTTAGCCAGAACCTAGAATTTTTCTTTGGGAAATGCCCTCTCTATTCAAAACTTCCTAAAGGCTTCCTCTCCTCCTACATAGCTGGTGGCATACCAGCTAATTCCAAACAGAATGACAAAGTCACTGGGTAAGACCTATAGAGCAACAAATGAGGTCAGCTGACTCATCACTGGAGTGTCACTATGAGTGTGCCCCCAGGGTGTCAGATGGCACAGGTAAGATGCTGTGGGTGGCCTGAAAAAAGGAGATCAAGGTGTTTTTGTTTATTGCTTTGAAGTCTTATAATACCTACTGTTTACTTCTGGGCCCCTTTTGATTCATGGTGAAAACTGGAATCCACCCATTCTCTCCTTTTCCTGTCTAACATGCAGATGGGGCATATTTTACAGTCTCCATCAATCCCTGCCCCCACGCCCTCACACATGCACACGTCTACCTAGCCAGTGGAAAAGAAAAAAGTTACTCACATTCATCCATCTCACAAAGATTTCCAGGCTGAAATGGGAGGGCTTTAGCTCTCCTGCAAGGATGAATAAATAGGTGAGTGGCTGACAGCCTGTCCATTGTACCCCTCTAGTAAGATCCATAGCAAAGACAGGGATTGACTCCTGGCAATTGGAAGGCTAAAACCTGGCCCCATGGAGAGGATAGTCATCTACTGCCTGGTCATCATCTTCTCTGGGACAGTGGCCCCTAAACACAGCTCCCCAATCCGCCGCCAGACCAGGATGGTCCAACTTCTACAAATTGTTCAACAGCTGAAAACGTGTATGAATGACACGGTGAGTAAGAACAGAGCCGTCACCAAGGGGTGAACGACCCAAGGCTTTGATGCTGCTTGTTCTCAGTCCGAAAGGAGCCCTTGTCCACCTAAAAATCACATGAATGCCATTTTCTTTTGCTCTAGGACCCTGCACTTCTGCCTACCCCTGACAATGTTGAGGTAAGACCAGTTCTACATTGCTCTAAATGTTTATGTTTGAATATTGTAAAAGGCTGATGAGGAAGAAATGTCCTACCTTGGTAGGGCAAGCAGGAGTGTGGAGTAGCATCAAAATTAAATCATTCATCCTCGAACAGTCCATTCATTTGGAATTAAATCTTGTATGCAAGAAGTCATAAAATGTTGATATATTGTTTGCTCAGATATTAAACTTTCTTCTGTGATGAGTGCTCAGGTATATCAAGTACATTAAGGTATAATCCAAGAGGGTTTTTTTTACATATGTCCATCTCTTGAATTTGATCTTCTACCACTTCCAAGTCATAGATAGATAGCATCTTAGGACCATGGATTTAGAACTGGAAGGGACCTTAAAGGCCATAAAGTCCAGGTGCCTCATTTTTCAGATGAGGAAACTGAGGCCCAGAGATGTCAAGTGTCTTGCCTGAGGTCACATAGTTAATAAATGACCAAGGTGGGATTTGAATTCAGGTCATCTGACTCCAAATTCAGTGAATGGATTCCCCAGCCAAGATTCTACAAAACTACTTGGCTGAAATGAATACCCAGAGGCCATACGGTCCATCACTCTGCCTTGAGAAAGGACCCAAGGAGTAGGCAACCCATCTAATTTTTAATGGCTAGGAAGAAGCATGTAAAATACGGATGCATACCACGAAAGGTTTGTTCATTAAGGTAAAGACAAATAATTAGTCGGATGGACAAGAGTAGGGGCATTGACATGATTATACTTCTTTGGGGTCTCAGAAGGATTCTGAATGCTGCTGATCAGTTAGGTATTGCTTGCACCATGAGTTATGCATTCTTAAGCTACTTAAAAAGAAATCCATCAGAATCCCAGGAAGGACCAGTTAGACAGCACTAACTTCAGGTTAATTCCTGCATGTAAATCACACAGAAAGTAGTGGAGGAATGTTTTCACTGCTGTGCATCTGTGTTTTCAAAAACAAAAATAACAAGAAAGCTAGGGACCAGAACAGGGAGGGATCTAGATGTTACACGAAAGAGTGACAAGCAAGGAGTTACTGGAAATGAGTGTAAATAGTTGAGAAAGTGAATGAGTCATAGTAACTCATTTTTCCTAAAACCTATTCTGCCCTACTATTTACTGCATGCATTTTGCAAAAGGAATCAAGCTAAGAGCTCCCTCCAACCAAGTAGGAGGAGGTTGTCCCTAACTGAGTCCAAGGGAGGATGCTTCTTAAGAGATGCATCTGCTCATCATGCTTTGAATATGTAAACAATGAGGCAAATGAAAGGGTATTGTCTCAGCAGTGAGATAACACTCATCAAATGGCGTTGGGTACCAGTGACAAAGGACGAGGCTGGAAGAGGTAAGGCACCTTCCCAGCAGGCCAGCTCAGAAAAGGAGAAAGTACTTCCACTTTGGTCTCCCTTTTGTCTAACCTTCACTCAAGCCAAGACCATTTGACTGGCCTCTAGAAGGATACAAAAATGAATCATCTAAATGTTTCTTTCAGACAGTGAATGTTAAGAGGTTGTATTGCCTGGCACATAGATGTGATACAATACACCCAACATTTACTAAGCACTTACCTAATTAGTGTGTGCAGAGCACTTCACTAGAGTTGGGTTGGGAGTGACACTGCCTGTAGATGGGACTCCATCCCATGGCGCAAAAACTGTGAAGTCTGCTGTAGTAGACAAGTCCACAGTCTTCATATAGTTCTTAGTGGAGTATTAGATAGAATGTTGGACTTGGCCATCAAGAACCAGGCCCAAATCCCAGCTCTTACACTTTAGTCTCTTAAATTCTCAGAGCCTCAATTTCCTTATCAGTAAAATGGAGATTAGAATACCTATGGTACTGGCCTCATAGAACTTTCAGGAAGACAAATGAAATCATATATGTCAAATGCTTCCTACAGTTTTCAAGGGACTATCAGGCAGTTGTGGTACCATGGAAAGAAGGGGAACGGAACCAAACATTTATAGTAAGCCTACTATGTGCCAGGCACTATGTCAAGTCAGAGTACCTAGGTTCAAATCCTGACTCTATCATTTGTTTTCCATGTGACATTGGGCCAGTAACTTCACCTTTCTAAGGCTCAGTTTCCTCATCCATAAAATGGGTGTGTTGGACTGGGGGTCCCCATAAGGTCCATTCCAGCTGTAAGCTAACAAACTTTTTGTAATCAGTTATTACAAATTATCTGTCTATCTATACAGTTTCCTATTTTTTCAATGACTCAAACCCCAGTTTCCATGTAGAACAAAAGAGATGTGTCCAAGGGAGCAAAGCACTTCTTTAGATGCTTCCATTCTGAAAGCGATAACAGAGCATCACAGAGACACAGGATTTAGAGCTGGAGGGGACCTCTTAGCATTCAGCCAGATGTACAGCCGGCGCCGCCGTGGGCTGTGAAATTCTATTTTAAAGAAGGCAAACACGTTTGTGAAATCTAAGGCAGTGTACCTGGCTGCAGGCGCAGCTCTTGTCTCACTCTCCTGCGGGAAAAAGAGGAAGCAGCGTGTCTCGATGGTTTGCCACTGTGGCTTTTGACTTCCTTGGGTTTCCTACGACCCTCAGACAACAGCAGAGAACTCCATAGATTTCCACTGGCTATTTCGTAATGGCAAAAGGTCAAGGAAAAGATATCCAAAGCTGGCCTTCCCAATAGGTCCCAGGATCTGCCTCCTGGAGAAGGACAGGACACTGGCCCAGCACCCCACATTGCTGGAGGAACCAGGCAGCCATAGCAACACAGTGCTTCAGAGAGGCAGTGGGTGGGCAAAGATGTCAGCCAGTGTGTGTGTGTGTGGGGAAGACCCAAGATGCTCATTTAAACGTTGTCCATGGTTCAACCAGCTCATATTTCCGTGGTACTTTCAAATTTTCAAAGCACTCTTCCAAACAACCTGTGAAGAGTTAGCATTATAATCCCCACTTTACAGGCGAGGAACCTGAGGCAAAGAGGAACTTGTCCAAGGTCATAGAATCGGAACTGATATAAATGTACTCCTCTTGACTCTGTTCAGTCCTTCTACCACACCAAAGGACTTTTCATTGCAAGTTTAAGGAGGTTCAGATAAGATCCCTTTCAGCAAGACAGTGAAGCATAGTGGACAGAGCTGGACTTGGAATCAGGAAAGACCTAAGGCAAAATCTCAGGCTCTAAGAACTTTCCACTTGGATGACCCTGGCCAAGTCCCTTAACTTCTCTGTGCTTCAATTCCCTCATCTCAAAATGAGAAGGATGGACTTAGCAGCCTCTAGAGCTATTAGAAGCAGCGAGGTGTCACAGCGGACAGGACTGGCCCTGACTTCAAATCTAGCCTCAGACACAGCTAGGTGACTTCTCCCCGCCTCAGTTTTCTCAGCTCTAAAATGGGGATAAAATAGCACCGACCTCCAAGGGTTGTGAGGATCCTTGTCAAGTGCTGAGCACAGTGCCTGGTGCACACACAGTAGGCATTATATTAATGGTTATTTCCTTCCTCTAAGGCCCCTCTATGATCCTATGATTCTGTAAATTGGGGTCAGGAGGGACCTAGCTTTGAATTGTGGTCCTGCTACTGGCCACCCTGTGTGACCCTGCTCCAGTCACAGGTAGCTTTTCTGAGCTGTTTCTGAACCTGGTGACACAGAGCTAAAACCATCTGCACTTAGCCTATCTCCCAGGGCTGCAATCTGCAGAAAAGCACCTAGTCATCTCCAAAGCACTCCCTGCAAAGGAACTGTAATGCAAAGGGCTCACCAGACTTGCAGTAAATCTGCTTTAAACACATCAGCCTGTAATCAATACCCTTGACCCAGCAGATGAGCGGGGGTAATGATACAAGGTCCGCAGGACTCCTTTCTGCTCTGGTGGCTAATTTTCTGTCAACACGCACCTGGAAGTGTTAACTCAGCAATCCTGGGCCTCGGTGAGAAACGCTGGTTGTTCAGATCATCACGGATGAAACAGTTAAGGTTTTTCAGTTTCAGCTGGAAAATTTGCCTCTTTAATTATGAATATTATTTTTTTTTCCAGTAAGTTAGGCCGGTAGTGGTTAAAAAGAAAAGAAAACGAGAGAAACTGAAACAAATGCGAGCATGTGGTTTTCAAGGAAAAATGCAGCGCCCGAGTTCACATTTAGAAATCGTTTCTCTTAAATAAGCATTTTGACCAAGCTGCGGAAGGGGGCTGCCTGGCCCTGCTGAAAGCTGGCGGCCAGGCTGGGAGGGAGAGAAAGCAGAGAAGGGAAGCTGGAGCTTGGGTCGAGAGCCGCGATTGCGTCGGTGCGGGGTCCCCTAACCAGCACTTAGGGGAGACGCGAGGTACCGACAGGAGATCCGTGGGGTCTGCGAAAAGTGCAGAGCAGGGGGCACGACCCCCAGCCATCGAACTTTTGTTTCAAAGAAATCCCAAAGACAAAGCTTTTTAAATTTTTTTAAAAAGTTAACACATTCGTGGTATAGCGGATGAAGCGCTAGACTAGAGTCAGGAAGCGCTGGTTCGGATCCCACCTCTGATACTCGGTGTGTGACTATGGAAGTCAACCTCAGCTTCCTCATCTGTAAAAGGAGGAGGCTTGAGCCCCGGCCTCGACAATGACTCCCAGCTCGAAGGTCCTATGTATGCCACGTACACTCACTCTCTTGGCAGCTGGGTACAGCCCCAGCAAAGATCCTATCCTCTCAGCCCCGGTTTCCTCACGTGTATCGGGTGAGGCTGCGCCAAATGCCCGTGGGGGTCTCCTCGGGCTCTGCCTAGACTTAGGATCCTACGTTTTCTTAGAACCAGCATTAACTTGATTCACTTAAATAACCAAATAATTGTAAGCTTTATTTTTCAAGGTGAGGGGCCCTTGATTTTCCTTCTCAATTCTGATCCCAGGATGGACTTTTTTTTGTCTTTTACTTTTTTTCTGTTGTGAATCCCTTTGGTAAAGTGTCTGGACCTCCGAATTTTTTAAAAATCCTAATGGAAGGAAATGCTAAATTTCAATTAGAGATTACACAAAATAAAGGTGTGATTTTTTAAAAAAATAATTCAAGCTTGTGGGCCCCCTGAAATCTATTTCTAGACACCCCCCCACTTGGGGTCCATGGACCCCAGTTTAAGAATCCCTGCTTGATTTGGAGTCAAAGGACCTGAGTTTAAATCTTAGCTCTGCTACTTACTATCCATGTGACCACCTCTCTAAGCCTCAGTTTCTTCAACTGTAAAATAAAGATATCGGAGGAGCTAATCTCTGTGATCCCTTCCACTTCTAAATTATGACGGTATTTGGTAAATACTGTTTTTACCAAAGCATGGCAAGCTAATGCATGCCTCTTCAAAGCATGCTACCACAAGGATTTTCCCGTTCTAAGGGTCTCTGTTCTTTCCTTCCATATCCTGAAAATCAGATTGTTTGGTTGTACTGATTTTATAACAGGGAAAAAGGACCTGAACCTGTGGTTTCATTCCTATAAGGCACTCCCAGGTGAGGAAACTCTCTCTGTCCATGCAGATTGTACCCTCTGTATACCTTACAGTTTTAGAGGCTTGCCTAGAGTGCAGAAGTAAAGTGATTTATCCAGGGTCATACAGAATGCAACCTTTCTAAGCTTTCAACAGAACACATGTATCAAAACGATATACTGATGGCTCTTAAGTGATGGATGGAGATTCCAGAATTCCTGAACTATCCAGGGCAGGACACCAGGCGGGCGGTTAATGGTACCTAAGAGGCAGCCCGGTGGTAAGTGGATAGAGCCTTGGGCCAGGAGTCAGGAAGCTCTCAGTTCAAATCTGGACTCAGACACTAGCTGCGTGACCTTGGGCAGATCACTTAACCTTTGCCTGCTTCAGTTTCCCCATCTATAAAATGGGGATAATCAAAGCACCTCCCTGGAAGGGTTGTTGTGAGGATCAAATGAGATAATATTTGTAAATCACTTCAGTAGCTGGTGCCCAGCCCCTGGCACACTTCCTTCCTTTAAAGGTCCCTCTATGATCTCATGAGAGGCCAAACAGAAAAGTGATTGGAATGCTGGATTTGGAGCGCAGAAGACCTGCATTCAGATCCTACCTCTGATCTTTACTAGCTCTGTGACCTTAGGTAAGTCACTGAGCCTTCAAGAACCTGCTTGTTCATCTGTAAAATGGTTAAGAAGCTACCTGTAGCACCTTCCTGTGGGGCTGTCAGAAGAACCCAATACCATTGGTCTACAAAGCACTTTTCGAACCGTGATGGAGGGAAAGAAGGGTAGGGGGCCCAGACCTATGATCTCATTGCTATAGGGAACTCCTGGATGAGGAAAGTCCCTCAACCAGTGCAGGTGGGCACCTTCTCTGACTGTCAGAGAATTGCCTAGGACACGCAGATGTCAAGCTTGGCATCACACAGTCTTAGGTGAAAGAGGCAAGTTTTAAACCTTCATAAGTAGATTTTGAGCTGGAAGGGACCTCAGAGACCACTGAATTAATCTCCCCATTTTACAGATGAGGAAACCAAGCCTGAGAAAGAGTAAGCGATTTGCCCGTGGCTACACAGTTAATAAGTGTCAGGCTTTGGCATCAGGGTCTTCCTAACTCCAGGCCCAGTGCTCCATCTACTGTTCCACTTAGATGCCAGTTATTAATTAAGAGGAACTCCAACCACTGGGAAAGATGGAATGACCAAGGCAGGGAAGCTCCCTTTTTCTCCTTGGTTTTCTCATACATATGTAAACATTTTTTCTTTCAGAAACACTGTGAGGAATCAGCTATTAAATGTTTTCAGGAGGCTCCGTTAACACCCTACGATGATGAAGAAAAGAAAATGAGATTTGACGTCTTAATTAAACAACTGAGAAGGAAACTGCCTTGGAGGGAGGCCAAAAAGACCAAGCCAGTAAGCTTTTCGTCACCCACCATCTACCATGTTTCTACTTGTGAACCACAAAGTTGGGTGCTCCAGTGAGACTCCCCAAGGCTTCTTGGGGCTCCCTGGTTAGGTCTCACTTTGGGGGAAGGCATAGCCCCTGGACTCCAAAGTGCTGGACACTCTGAGCTTCACTTGGGGCTCAGGTGACCCGTGAGGGTGAGAGCAATGTACCCAGGTACCCAACCTACCAAGGAGTAGTATGGGTACAAGGAAACTTGCTGTCATTTGTAATCTCTGAAATATTTTCTCCTAATTTAGACAGTTATGTTCTCACCGTTTTTCCTCTCAATATGAGTGGTCTAGAAGTGGGACCATAATTAGAAATTTTGGGTACTGGGGCAGATACCATTCCTGAGGCATGGTTGGGGAGGGAAGATGTGGAAAAAAGAGGGAAGAGAGTTAAGTGGGGCAGGGAGGCAGCTCATTTCTGCCCTCTGGTAACTTTTGATTTAAGCTAACTATTCTTAGTAACTTGAGAAGCAGGGTAATATGGCCTCAGAGCCAGGAAGACCTGAGTTTAAGATCCATTTCTAATACTTAATGGCTGGGTGACTCTGATTATTCCAAGTAGAATGATCCTGGTACATAGGCCCTTGACCCCATTCTCTTGGGTCTTCTCCAGAAGACAGCCATTCAATCATGCCCCATCATCTTCAACTGTTTTCTATTTACTAGTTCCCTGATGCCTACAAACATGCCCAAGTCTCCCCATCCTGGGGGAAAAAAGCCCTCGCTAAGCCCCTACCTTCCCCTCAACAGATCACATTTCCTTCCCTTTCTCAGCCAAACCATCTATCCTTGTCCTCTACTTCATCTCTTGTCAATCACTTTAAACCTGACCTCTGACCTCATCACTCACCCGAAATCCTTCTCTCCCAAGTCACCAGTTCTTCCAGCCACCAAAGCTGATATTCTTTTCTCAGTCCTAACCATTCTTGGACTCTACCACATCTGATGCTATTGACCACTCACTCTCTTTTCCTGAGCATTCTTTCCAGAGTTTTCATGACCCAATTCTACCCTGGCTCCCCTCCTACCTACCCAGCTGACCACTCCTTTTCAGTCTCCTTAGCACCTCTTCATCCATATCCCATTCCCAACTGTATTTCTCAAGGTTCTGTCACTTCTTTCTCTACACCCTCTCAATGATCTCCTCAGCTTCCATGGGTTTAATTATCATCTCTCTCTATACAGATGATGCACAGGTCCATATAACCAAAAACATTCTCTCCCCTAATCCTGTCCCTTATCACCAACTACCTACTGAGAATTTCTAACTGGATGTCCCATAAGTATCTCGAACTTAACGTGTCCCCAACATTCTCCACCCCCCACCAAACTTTCTTATTTCTAGCACCTCAGTGGCAAGGGGTCAGGAAGACTCAAAATCAAATCCGACCTCAAACAATTACTGACTGTGACCCTGGGCAAGTCACTTAACCTCTGTTTGCCTCGGTTTTCTCAACTGTAAAATGGGGGCAATAATAGTGCCTACCTCCCAAGGTTATTGTGCGAATCCAAGGAGATAACATCTGCAAAGTGCTTGGCACACTTCCTGGCACGTAGTAGGTTCTATATAACTGCTTCTTCCCTCCCTTCCTGCTATGGAAGGCACCAGCGTTCTTCAGGTCTCTCAGGCTCAGTGTTCCATTAGCCTTGACTCCTAATGCCTTCACCCCAATTATCTAATCAGTTGCCAAATTTTGCCATTTCTCCCTCCACAATTTCTCCTCTATCAACCCCTCCTCCACACTCACACAGCCACCAGATTCTGGTCCTGATCATGTCTTGCTTCGATTATTTCAATGGCTACCTACGGAGTCTCCCCACATCAGTGTGTCCCCCCTCCAACCTATTCCTCCACACTGATGTCCAGGTGTCTGTCCCTAAGAGCAGATCTGATCACATCATTCATTCCCCTGCTCAGTAAACTCCCTGTTGCCTCTGGGATCAAACATAAACATGCTCTGTGCGACTTTCAAAGCCCTTCACAACCTGGCCTATCTTTCCAGCCTCACTGGACATGAATTACTCTTCTTCCTTACACACAAGAGGCCAGCCAAATTACCTTGCTTTCTTTCTCATGTATGGCATTCCATCTCCATGCCCTGACTCAGACCACCCTCCACATCTGGAATGAATTCCAACCTCAACTCTGCCCCATACAATCCCTCTCTTCCTTCAAAACAAAGTTCCAGAGTCAATACTCTGGCTGGGCTCGACTCAGGCCAGTCAGGGGGTTCAGGCAGGCCTGGGGCAAGAATGAAATGGCCCACTCATGACACACACCACCTTCTCTGTGAAGCCTTCCCTGACACCCCCAACTGTGCAGGTCCACCCTCCCTCCCACACACTTTGTGTTTATTCTGCGTATACTTATATATGTGTGGGTTGTCATCCCCGATGCCATAGAGAGTCCCTAGGAGTAAGGATTGTTTCATTCTTTGCATTTCCATCCACAGCACCCAGTATACTTCCTAGCCCATAGCAGATGTCTCATAAATGCTTGTTTGATGAATGGAACAAAGACCACCCATCATCCCTGACTGCCTTTATTCTGCCTTCCTCTAAAGGGGGGGAGAGGGGGAGAGAGAGGGGGGAGAGAGGGGGGAGAGAGTGGGGTGAGAGAGGGGGGAGGGGGAGAGAGGGAGAGAGGGGGGAGAGAGATGGGGAGAGAGGGGGGAGAGAGATGGGGAGACAGGGGGCGGAGAGAGAGGGGGAGAGAGGGGGAGAGAGAGGGGGGAGAGAGGGGGGAGGGGGGAAGAGGGGGGAGAGAGAGGGGGAGAGAGAAGTCATGGGATTTTTTTTAATACTTTAAAGATCACTTCATTCAATGCTCTCATTTTAAAAGTAAGGAGGCCTAAAGAGGTTGTGACTTAACAAAAATTATTCACCATATTAGGACAAATGTGGGAATAGAATCCAGGACTCCAGGCTCTTGATTCCAAGTTCTTTCCATCCTCCTTCTCCCCACTTTCCCCACCCTGCCCCAGTAGAGTGACAGTATAGGATTTTGTCTTTCAGCTTGATGGATAATAGGCAGGTGATGTGCACGCCTATCTAAATGAGATACTTGTAAAGAGTTTAGTGTAATGCCTGGAAGGTAGTAGGTGCTTAATAAATGCTTGTTTCCTCCCTCCCTTTCTTTCTGTTCTTTTATCTTTTCTTTCGTCCCTCTCTTCCTTCCATCCATTCCTCTCTCCCTCCCTCCTCTCCTCCTTCCTTCTCTTCCTTTCTTCTTTCCAAGAAACCATGGCATTAAGGGTGCAAATAAACGCTTCTGCTTCTTGGCTTTCCAGAAATGCCCTTCCTGTGATTCCTTTGAGAAGAAACCACCCCAAGAATTCCTCGACAGCCTGAGATCACTTCTCCAAAAGGTATCTTTGTTTCTTATATCACTTCCATCTACACATGGGGACTGGGCTCTTCATGCTGGGATCACTGATGCTGTGTTGTCTTCACAGATGATTTCTTATGATCAGCATCATCCCCACCATCATCGTTGCCATGGCCACTGCACCTAATACACGAGGGAGGTGAAGATGCCCACAGCCCTAAGAGAAAGTTGGACACTATATGACATACTCTAAGATCTTAATATTCTAACTGAGCAAATGCAGCATAACTATGATGGGGGGAAATGAGTTCAGATAAGAGTTTAAAGTCAGGGAGAGTTTTCCAAAATTATTATCAGCTCCAAACCTTCCAGCCCTTCTTCTATCCTGGATTTGGTGACTTGAAGACATGGTCAGCTCATAGCCTCATTACCAAGGGGATAGATGGAGAGGCCGTGTCCTCTGATATTCATCCTTCACTGTGTTACCCAAGTGGGGTAATGTCACAAGGAGACGGGGAGGAGGATCCAGACGGGATCACTCTCAATCTGCCCCTATCTTATTTTGTTCCCTTTCTCCTCTGGCAACCCTGATCTCCTTACCATGCTTAATTAAATACTGGCTAGTTCATATTCATAATAGAATGTCCCTATTCAAACATGAATGAGAACATAGAAACAGGAGCTAAGAAAAATTTTAAAAAGACAAAACTTTTTTAAAAGAGAAAACGACCTAATTTTTAAAATCTTATCTGAACAGTTTTCCCCTTTTCTTAGTATATTTTACATGTTAAAAATGTAACCTATTTATGCTTTGAGGGGAATTATTTTTCTAGCTGGCTACTAAGAATGTCGCTTTGTTCATAAGGATCCGATGAAATATTTATATTCTATGGAAATGAAGAAATGTATTTATATTATTCATGGTTTTTTCACAGGATTAGGGTACTGTGCCAGCAGAGGGTATAAAATGGCCCTACCAAAATCTCCTTACCATTCATAGATTGAGAGCTGGAACTCTAGAGGCCAGAAAGTCTAACCCAGTCATCTTGTAGATGAGTCCCAGAAGGAAAAAAAATAAAAGCTAAGTGATCTATGCTCAGGGCCACACTGCTTATAACCCCAAGGAAGGATTTGAACTCAGGTCTTCCTGACTCCAACTCCACTATCCTATCCACTACGTTCACAGAAAGTATTCTGGGCCAGTCGGAGCTGCCACATTTCATTTTTTGCCTCCTCCCGTTCTCCAACAAAGCCTTCATAATGGATACAGGAGATGGCAGTGAAGCAATAACATCCCTGGCCAACCTGAGCTTTGAAATCTGAAAACTGAACTCCTATGGAGCTAACATTGCAAAATTCCTTGCACAACTTGTGTCTAAATGGCTTGGGGGAAAGACATGTCCCTTTGTCTTAAATATACCATGCATCCAAACAGTGTAATGGAAACAAGCAGCCCCTTCAATAACCTTCTCTGTGAAGCTAAATATATTTATAGGATGAGTTCTTAATCTGGGGTTAGTGAACTTTTCTAAAACATTTTTTGGAAAACTGCATTTCCCTATACTCAGTTTCCTTCGTAATTCTATGTATTTCATTGTATGTATCACAAAACATTACTATGAGAAGGGGTCCATGGGCTTCACTAGACTGCTAGAAGGGACCAATGACCCAAAAAGGTTAAGATCCTTTGCTCTAAAGAATAAAATGGTTACCACAGAGTCATAAGCTAATTCAAGAAGCCCCTATCTTTGTCAGATTGATCTTTGGAACATGCCAAAGAACAGAGAATGTGTGGGATGATCAATGCTCTGGGTCTAGTAGGAAGTGAGAGAAAAAAAATCTACGTCTGTTTTGAAAGAGAAGTGTATGGCAGCCACCTGCTAACTCAAGCGGAGGCTGGTTTCGCTTAAATAGCTGGTTCCAAACAGAAACATTTTCAAGACCATAATTCTTTCTTAGGACCTCAGCTCAGTGACCACACTGCATTCTGAAAGCCTTGACCATTTTGGAAATGGCTGGCACACGTGATGACAACCGTGAACATTTACACGTGTCTCAGCTCCACCTTAAAAGCTCTCCACTTCTATCTGGTCTGGCCAACGCTACAGAAACCATGGTAGGTCGGCAGCTCTGCAGCATCTGAAACACTGACTTAATATGTTCTTATCTCTGCCCGGTTTGGTGGCTGACTGTTTCTTTGACGTCATAGTTTGAGTTTCAAAATAATGGATTTCTCTCAGTACCATAACTGTTAGACCTCTGAAATATCTGCTCAGAAGCTGTTTGACCAAGTTCTTCACTGAAATAAAAATCCTTTCATGGAAGCTGAGGTGGGGGGAGGGGGAACTTTTAAAAGTACAAATAAACTTGAGGCCTAAGAGATCTTTCCTGAAACACAGGGAGGGACAATGGCCATTCAGAAACCAGAGGGAGAGGAAGGCCAGCGGGAGGCTCTGCCTCGGTCTCATGTTATTCAAGACCAGTCGGAGGCAAAGGATGAATGACTTTTGGACATTATACCATTTACAGATGGAAAGCAGCCTGCCCCTCTGGGCCTCATTTTCTTCATCTGTTAAAGGAAGATGAACCAGCTCGTTAATCTCTAAGTTCTCTTCCAGCTGTAACTGGATTGGTTTTTTGTTGTTGCTGTTGTTGTTTTGAGAATTCTTACCAGGCAAAGCGCTGGCTCTACCTTGGCATCTAGAGTTCCATTGATCCATTTTGATTTCAAAGGCACTCTAGCACCCCCTACTGCACAAACAAGGGAAATGTTTCTATAGAAGACCATTGCAGCAGGCGGCATGGATAGAGGAACCCCACACACCTGCTCTGTAAGGCAAGGGAACGTTATACCTTTTAGAGATGATTAATCATATTTTTATGATTTTAGCTGATGGTGTCCTTTGAAGACACATGTATAGAACTGTAGCATTATCATTCTGTGTTATATTACTCTGTTGTATTGACAATTGCCACTAAGAGTTAAATTTTAATATAAACTATATTTTTTTAACTTAATGATTTATTTATTATATATTTGGTTTGGAACCTTTGTGTGAATGGCTTCTTATTTAAGACTGGAGTACATTAAATACTACCCAGCCAGGACCAACATCTTGTCTTAAGCCTAAATTCTTGACTTTCATTCTTTGGGGTGGGGACTGCTTCCTGCACAGTATATCATGATTCTTCCATGTATACTTACCCTGAGCCATTCCTGTCCACATCTTTCCATAAGTTGTCCAAAAAGAACCAAGCAGATGCATTTTAAGTCACTCTCTGCATCGTTTAACATCTTAGGGTACCAAGAGGCAGCACTGAGGATGCTGCTATATTGTCCCTCGTGTCCCATCTCTCTCTGTTCATGTTTGTCTGGTGTCATGCTTGCTATGTCATAGACTGCATGCAAGTCATAAGATGTGACCCATTTATATTCACTCTACATCCTTCCTTTGTCTTTGGGTCATTTACCTTCCCTAGCTACTTTTTCCAGTACTGGCTACACCTTCAGTCATTCTCCTTGGCTCACTAGTTGAGGTGATGGAGTTAGAATATTCCTTGCTCCCCACTGACACTTGCAGATTCTTCCCCCACCATGACTCAGTAACTTCTCCTTCTTTGACGTCCATACAATACACATTTACCACCTAATCAAAATCCTGGTTGCTGTTGTCTACAGACCTCCAGGATATTCCCCTTCTCTCCTCTATGAGTTCTTTACCTGGCTCACCTTTCTCTCCTCTACTCCCTCCCAAATACCCTAACGTCCCAATTCCTCAACTTTCTCATTTCCCATGACCCATTCCTCCACCCCACCTCAAGCACATACAGAGATGGTCATACCTTTGATCTTGCAATCACCTATAAATAAACCACTTCCATGTTCACGAACTCTGATATCCTCTTATCTGACCACAGTCTATTAAAATTCCATTTCACCCTCTGCCTTCCAATACAAAACCCTACTTTTCATCCTCACCTCAACCTCCAGTCCCTTAAACTCTCAGTTCTCTAACAGGCCATCTCCCCTACACTAGCCATACTCTTTTCTCTGCCCCTCACCATCTTGTCCCCTTGATTAAGCAGCTCGTCACACTGTTTCTTTTTTTGCACCCCAGAACCCCTTGTAACATAAGCAATTATTCCCTGCCAAGCTTTAGCCTTGGCTCACTTCTATCATCCGAAGCCTTTGCTCCTACTCATGTGCTGCTGAATGGAAGTGGAGAAAATCACCCAATCCTTTTGACGGGGTCCACTACAAATTTGTGTTACACAACCTGTAGGGGCCCTCACTGCTGCTCAGCAATCCTCCTATACCTTCCTTAGGAACTCGCTATCTCACAGCTTCCACAGCAGCTCTTCCAAATCTTTTTATTCCTCCTCAAGTCTCTCATGGCTCCTCCTCCCCCTCCCATCAGCTGAGACCCGTGCCTCATATTTTACAGAAAAAAATTTAAGCCATTCACTGTGAGCTCCTCCTTCTCCCCTCTTCCTAATCTTATATCACTCAGATACCTTCTGCCACTATTTTCCCCAACACTCCTGTCTCACATGAAGAGGTTCCCTTACTCCTTTTCATAAGTGATGCCATTCCATCTTGTCTCCTCCAACAGATTGTCCCCTGTCATCCTCACTCTATCACTTATCTTCAGTCTTTCCCTATCCACTGACTCCTCCCTACTGCCTACAAACATGCCCATATCTCCCCAACCCTCAAAAAAAAAATCCCACTTGATCCTTCCCTCCATGCTAATCATCTTTTTCTGTCTCTGCTTCTTTCTGTGGATAAACTCCTTGAAAAGACCATCTATAATAGGTGCTTCCAATTCCTTTACTCTTCTTAGCTATTTATAGTCTTGCTTTCAACCTCATCATTTCACCAAAGCTGCTTTCTCCTAAATTACCAATAATCTCTTAATTGCTAAGTCCGTTGGCCTTTTCTCAACCCTCAGACTTCTTGACCTCTCTGTAGCCTTTAATACTGTTGATCACCGTCTTCTCCTTGATACTCTCTTCTCTCTAGGTTTTTGGGACAACACTCTCTCCTCGTTCTCCTATTATCTACCTGACCACTCCTCAATTTCCTTTACCCAATCTTCATTCGGGTCATACCTACTAACCATGGGTGGGTGTCCTCCAGACTTCTGTCCTGGATCCTCTTCTCTTCTCCCTTTATACTATTTCACTTGGTGACTTCATCAGCTCCTATGCATTAAATTATCTAATGATTCTCAAATCTACTTCTCTAGCCCTACGCTCTCTTCTGACCTCCAATCTAACTGCCTATCAGACATCTCAAACTGGAAGGTCAGTAAATATCTTAAACTCAACATATGCAAATTGAATTCATTATCTTTCCTCCAAATCCTTTCCTGTTCCTGACTTCTCAATTACTATCCACAGTAACACCATTCTCCCAGTCACCCATTCTCATAACTTAGGTGTCATCCTCGACTTCTATTTCTCACTTCCCATATCCCACATGTTGCCAAGGACTATAGGTTTTATTTTTGTTGTATCTCTCAAACATATCTCCTTCTCTCCTCTGTACTGACACTACCCTGTTGTAGGCCCTTGTCACCTCTCGTCTGAACTACTGTAATAACCTGTGTGTTGCCACAAATCTCTTCTCACTCCACTTCATCCTCCATCCAGGCAAAGTGATTTTCCTAAAGCACAGGTCTATGTCACCCTCCCCCTGTCCCCATTCAATAAACTCCAGTAGATTTCTATCATCTCCACGATCAAGTATAAAATTCTCTGTTTGGCATTCCAAGCCCTTCATAACCTGTGCCCATCCCCATACACACAACACACCTTTCCAGTCTCCTTACACCTTACACCCCACTACCTGCTCTTCAATCCAATGACACCAGCCTCCTTGTTGGTCCTTGAAACAAGACACTCCATCATTGGACTCTAGGAATTTTCACTGATTCCCTTGCCTAGGATGCTCTTCTTCCTCATCTTTGCCTCCTGGCTTCCCTAACTTCATTTAGGTTGCATCTAAAATCCCACCTTCTTCAGGAAGCTTTTCCTGACCCCTCTTAATTACTTAATTGTAAATTCCTTCTTTTAATTTCTTCCCACTCTATCCTGAGTATAGCTTGTTTGTACATACTTGTTACCTTGTTGTCTCCCCCATTAGATTGTGAGCTCCTTGAGGGCAGGGACTGTCTTTTGTCTTTCATTGTATCCCTAGCACTTAGCATAGTGCCTGGCACACAGTAGGTGCTTAATAAGTGTTTATTGAATGAGCGATTGACTCTTCCAATTTTTAATCATTTAGGAGATATAGACATCTGTAGTCCTATGATTAAAAAAAAAAAGGAATCTTGAAAGAAATAGCTCACCTTCTTTAGTTTCCTGAATCATATAATTCTTTCCTCTTATCAGTGAGGAATATCTCTTCTCCTTCCCTAACATACTTAATTCCAAAATTCATCCTTTCTGATGATTCTTTTCAACTCTTAAGTCAAATAGAGTTGAAGGCTAACAAGGCAAAACTGGGTTCATCCTCAAGGTTGTTTAGGGTTAGAGTGGCAAAAATTCAATGAATCAGCGTGGACTGCACCACTAATGTGAACAAACCTGGGTGTCACATGGGCACGTGGGTGTCAACCAAAGCTGCCAAGGAGACCTGGGCATGAAAAGGAGGACTACACCAGCCTCAGCCTGTCTCTGTTCCTGAATTAGCAGTGATGAACGTGGTGGGTGTAGACTGGATGACACCTATCACCTCTACGACCACAATTAATCTCTCTGAGATTCAGATTGCCAAGAGTAGTGGGTAGAAGCTGCAAAAAGGCCAAGTTTAACTCAATATAAGGAAATCTTTCCTAACAATTAGAGTTTTCTGAGAGTGGAAATGGGAAGCCCTGGGAGATAGTAGGTTCCCCATCATAGAAGTTCTTCAAAAGAGGGGCTGGAGAACAATTTGTTGAGTACGTTGTAGAAAGGACTCCTCTTGGGGTGTAGGATGGCTACATGGCTGCTAAGATTTTTATCTTCAGAGTAGGAATTGGGGATTGGAGGTCATGATTTCATTGGAATAGGGAAACTCCCTATATTGATGCTAGCTGGTACTTCTCTGCAACCTGTCTTACAGTTACCTAGAACACTGGAACCAGGTACCTAAAGTTACCAGATCACCTGGAGTTAGGTTAAGTGACTTGCCCAAGGTCATAGATCCAATATATGTCAGAGGTAGGACTTGAAGCTAGGACTTCTGGGCTCTGAGACTGACTATCCACTGTGCCACACACTCCTTCAATCTCTAAAACAGGGATGATGATGATATTTGTGCTCTCTCTTGGACTGTTGTGAGGAAAATGTTGGGTGAGCCTGAACATTTCATATAAATATGAGTGTTGATAGTGATGATAATGATGATGATGATGATGATGATGATGTATAAGAATTCCATCTCTCCACTGATTCCATTTAAGTCCATAACACATTTATCAAACACTTCCTATAAAACAGGCACCATGCTAGGCCCTGGAGATACAGAGGCAACAATGAAACATGCTGCCCTCAAGAAGAAACATGTAGAAATTGAAATACAAAATATATACAAATTTCTGGGGGTAGGTACTGACAACACGGGGCTCAGGGCAGGCTTACTGTAGGAAACGGCATTTGAGGGGAGCTTTGAAGTAATTCTAGAGATTTTATGAGGTAGAGGTAAGGAGACAGTGTATTCTACTCATGAGGAGTTCAAAGGCCTGGATGAATTGATGGAAAAACATTAATTAAGCATTCACAATGTTAAGCACTGTGGTAAATAAGCTCTGAGGACACAAATTCAAGCAAGATTGATAGTCTCTACCCTCAAGGAGCTTACATTCTAAACAGGAAAGAAAATACACATAAGAGGGGGAATGGCCATTGAGGATTGTTTTGGACAGGGAAGTTAAATGGAATGGTCATTGGAGTCGATGGGAAATCAATTGGCATGTCTTTGACTT